CCATGTCATTGCTGAAGGTGAAAAGCTCCACCACCACATACACAGTAGCCATCAGGACAAGGCGTCTGAGGTCCCCACTACTGTGGAACACAGCCTCCAGTATGTGAGCCACATGGGGAGATGAATGGACGTTGAGCATGTGACTAAATGGGGACATTGTTTAGGGGACATGATAAGAAGTACACAATATCTGGTTCTTAAAAAAAAGAGAGAAAAGCTTCTCTCAGGTACCCAAGAAACGGCTTAGCAGGTACAGTGCTTGCTTTGCATACAAGACCTGGATTTGATCCCCAGGACCCATGAAAAATAAAATGAGGGTATAGTAGCACCCACTTATAAACACACATACTCACAAATGTACATATACACATGCATGCACACACATGCGCACATATACACATATATACTCAAATATACCTTTCCATTTAACATGTGTTAATTTTCTTGTGAAACTCTTCCTGTCAAGGCTGGAGACACCTGTGGTGCCCAACTGGCTTCTGAGATCCCTGGGCGTTAGATGGTTGCTTCTCACAAGGCTGAATGAGTCCTGGGCATAGGTACGACTTGTGGTTTATCTGGAAAAGAGGTGAAAATGTGCATCCAGACAGAGACAGTGACTTGTGCAAAGGCCCTGAGGTCAAAATGATCCATCCTGGTATGCTGAAGCTAAGGGAGAAATCAAAAGCCTGGCAGGATGGAGAGGCAAGGCAGGGGCTGGACTGAGGCTGGGTTTGGGGGGAATTCAGTGACTTCAGGCGGTGGCAGCTAAGTTGGCACTTCAGTCTGAGGCCACAGGAAGTCCTCGGAGGGTTGTAAGCAGGGGAGTGCCCGGATCTGATTTGCATTTTTAAAAGATTACTCAACCACTCTCTGAAAGACCAGAAGAGGCAAGCAGTGTGTTGACAGTCGCCCAAATGAGAGGCAAGGCAATGGCAGCTTGGTTTGGAGTGCCAACAAGGGAGGGGATGGAGTGGCTGGCCTTGATTAGCACATGCCCTCCAGCTGTTCCCCATGTGTCCCTTCCCGGGCACACTTCTGCTCTTGTCACGGGAAGAGGAAGCAGCTCGGCATGAATGCTCACTGCCGCCCTGCCCGCCTTTCTTCTGGCACCGCGGACAGTGTTTACCACCTCTGGTGAACCAGGGAAGCCAATTAGGAAACACACTTATCTTGGGTCCCCACACAAATCCCTCATAACAAGAAGGTGATCTCTCGGTGTGGCCTTCCTCCTGTTTGATCCGTGCCACCTGAGAGCAGTGGGTGATCTTCAGATGTGTGGCTTTGACTGGGACTTCACCTTTGCTTGAGGCTGCCACACCTGTCAACACTGTGGGCGTCAGTCCTGAGGGCAGGTCATCCTCCTGCTCAGCTCTCATGCCTAGCCTGTCTCTGTACGGCTTCCAGCAGAAGTGCCCGAGCCCTGGTTCCCATACCATTCATTAGGACATGCCCTAGAAAGATGGATGAAGCTGAAGGTCACACTGTCCACTGTGGTTGGCTGCTAGCCACATGTGGCCAGAGAACAAACATGTAACATATGCTGCGTGGGACTCCGAAACTTCTAGCTTTACCCTGTTGCCGTGATAAATGCACTGACCAAAAGCAAGATCGGGGAGAAAGGGTTTTTTCTCTCAGCCTCCAGGTCACACGTGGCCTGTTATTGAGGGAATTCAGGGCAGGAGCTTAAAGCGGAAACCTTGGAGGACCACTGCTTGCTGGCACAGGCTTCTGCCTACCTGGAGGACCACTGCGTACTGGCACAGGCCCATGCCTACCTGGAGGACCACTGCGTACTGGCACAGGCCCATGCCTACCTGGAGGACCACTGCGTACTGGCACAGGCCCATGCCTACCTGGAGGACCACTGCTTGCTGGCACAGGCCCATGCCTACCTGGAGGACCACTGCTTGCTGGCACAGGCCCATGCCTACCTGGAGGACCACTGCTTGCTGGCACAGGCTCCTGCCTACCTGGAGGACCACTGCTTGCTGGCACAGGCTCATGCCTACCTGGCTTTCTTACGTAGTCCACAATCACCTGCCTAAGGAACAGTGGTGCCCGTAGGAGGCTGAGTCCTCCTACGTCCATTAACAGTAAAGATAACCGCCATAGGCCTGCCCACAAGCCGATTAGACCTGGCATCCCTTCAACTGAGACTCGCTTGACTCCAGGCTGTGTCCACCATGATAGTGGATGTATGTGACTGGTGGCTCCGCACGGAGCAGGGTCATTCTAGGTCATGCCCATCACCTGAAAGCCTTTCTTTGTTTTGTTGGTTTGTTTGTTTTTGTTTTTTGTTTTGGTTGGTTGGTTGGTTGGAAAGTGACCAAGGCAACTGTACCAAAGTTCTGTGGAACTTGTCCCTTGTCATAGGTTCTTTGGTTTGCAAATATAGGGACAGAGGGACTGAATGATCAAAGAGGATGCTGGGAAGTGGCTGGAACTCAGGGCCAGGTTCTCAGCTCCATGTGTCTTTGTCTTTTGTTATTTGGTGCATACTTAATCATATGTTCTTCTTGTGCCATGGGGTGTGAAGTCACTGTCCTCTTTGGTCACCTCTGCGGTCTTGGACACCTCCTCTTCCTTCATGGGAGTCACGGTGTAGTCGATGTGGAGAGTATCGTCCACACCCTTCTCTCTTGCATCTGTGAATGTGTAAATAGAAAGAAATGTTTTGTATTGTTTGATAGATTGTAGGGTTTTACACATTTTTCTCTTAAAAAGTGAAACAATACATTTATTTACAAACCACAGCTTTCTTGTGAATGTTGGGGGGAAACCATGCGAGCTGTGGGTTTGGGGAGCAACTCAGATAATCAGGGTTGGCAGCCAGCACCTTTGCCCACAGGGTTCTCTGTCTGGCCCCACTCCCCACCCCTAACAGCATAGATTAGATCTTTTGGGGTCAGTCCATAGAATACATGCTTTTTGATCTGCTGTGTTACCTTGTCTGGGCTCACCTCTCTAGTCTAGCGTGTTCTCTGTCTGCATGGGGCTCTTCAGGTTGTATAATGATGGGTGCATGCCTGGGTTATAGGACGTCTGTTGTCAAATTTGTATGCTTCAACTCCAAAGCTCTTTAAAAAAAATTTCGAGACAGACTTACTCTGTGTAGCCCTGGTTGTCCTAGAACTTGCTCTGTAGACCAGGCCTTGAACTCAAACTCAGAGATCTGCCTGCCTCTGCCTTTTTAGTGCTGGGATTAAAGGCATGTGCCACCACCGTCCAGTGTAGTCTAGGGCATCTGTTAGAGGTGGGACCCAGTCTCATCCTCCTTCTCTATGGATGTCTTCAAGAGTCTTTACCTCACAGGCTGACGTTTTGCCTATTAAGCGTGGCATGCACTTTCTTCTGGTCCTTAATTAGTTTTGACTTGATCAATTGCACTGTTGTCTTGCTCTTTCTTTTTGAAAAGTATAAAATCAGTCTATGCTAACTGCAATATTGTCCTGTGAAAAGTGAATTATGTCTATAGACCTTCTTAGGTGACCTTGGTGATCTTTGTCAACAAGAGCTGTGTGTACCTGTCTCCAGGTCCCTTCCTTCTCCCTCCTCTTTCCTCCCTCTCTCTCTCTCCCTCTCTCCCTCTCTCTCTCTCTCTCTGCCTTCCAGAGGCAGGGTTTTTCTGTGCGGCCCTGGCTGTCCTGGAACTCGCTCTGTAGAGCAGGTCAGGTCTAGAACTCACAGAGATAGATCCAACTGTCTCTTTGCTTCCTGAGTGCTGGAATCAAAGGCATGTGCCACCACCGCCTCTCTTGGTGATCACTAGAGTTGTGCTTTTCCTGTCTGTATGTCTCTCTGTAATCACCAGAGTTTTACTTTTCCTCTGTTTGTCTGTCTCTCTGTAATCACTGGGATTGTACCTTTCCTCTGTCTGTCTGTCCGTCCGTCCGTCTGTCTGTCTGTCTCTCTGTAATCACCAGAGTTTTACTTTTCCTCTGTCTGTCTGTCTCTCTGTAATCACCAGAGTTTTACTTTTCCTCTGTCTGTCTGTCCATCTCTCTATAATCACCAGAGTTTTACTTTTCCTCTGTCTGTCTGTCTCTCTCGACAGTCACTGGACTTATGCTTTCATCGTATCTATTCTTAGGTTGCTCGGTTCTTCTCTAGCATTTTATTTTTATTTGCTTGTGTTGATTGCACACACTAGTTGGTTTCATCATGGCATCTTTACAGCTAAACAGTGTATTTTTATCCCATCCACCCTCGCTAGCTCATCCTGCTTCTCTTCCCACTTAGTCCCCTCCTGCTTTCACATCTCTTTATTTACTTTGACAATCCTGTGTCATTAGTGCTCTGTACATGGAGCAAGGGCACCTTATAGTGTCTACACCTCTGAAGAATGTCCTTCCCTCCCCAGCTACCGTTAATCTCCTGCAGATACTCAGAGAGGGCCTGCCCTCATGAATCCAGCCCCAATAACTGCCTTTACCTGGCAATGGATCCTGAGGGTGGTTGGCGGGAGGGTCTGCAGGTTGTTTCTGTTCCCATTTTCCCAGCCCTTTGCCAGTGACTAAGTACCCATCTATATTGTTTCTTGTGGCTGCTTAGAAGACACACATGCGTACACACGTATATATGAGTATTTTGCCTGTGTTACGATTGTGCACCATATATGTACCCGGTGCATGTGGGAGCCAGAAAAAGGCGTGGGATTCCTTCGAACTGGAATTACAGTTGGTTGTGAGCCTCCATATGGGTGCTGGGAATCCCACCCGGGTCCTCTGTAAGAACAGCCAGCACCCGTAACGGCTGAGCCCTCTCTCCAGCTCCTTAGCATCCATTTTAGAGGAGATCCCTACAACTTATTTGAGCAGTTGCTCTGGGTGGACACCAAGGCAGCTTCTGGCCATGCGCCCATCCAGGTCACACAGCAGCCCTACACTCTTTCACTCCAGGTACTACTTCTCTGATCGTCTCTGGTGGTCAGACTAGAGAAGTCTCACCTGCCCTCCACCCCGAAAAAAAAAAAGATTGTTTTTTTTTTTTTCCTTCCTTAGCTCCACGGCTACATGGAGAACAAGCCCCTGGGACTTCAGATCTTCATTGGGACAGCCGATGAGAGAATCCTTAAGCCGCATGCCTTCTACCAAGTACACAGAATCACGGGCAAAACCGTTACCACCACCAGCTATGAGAAGATTGTGGGCAACACCAAGGTCCTGGAAATCCCCCTGGAGCCAAAGAACAACATGAGGGCCACGTAAGGCTGGGGCAGTGGTGGGGCTTCCTGGGAAAGTGAGCAGGGCCTGAGTGATAGGATTGGGGCATCTCTGAGGGTACTGCCACAGCCGCTACTGGGCCTGTCCAATCTTGGAGCCACCCATCTGCGTGGTGGCCCACACCTGTAACACTGGCACTAAGGAGTGTGCATGGGGGCTGAAAGCTCTGGAGTTTGTAGGTAAAACCATCTTCCGCTACATATTGAGTCCCAGCCCAGCCTCTCTCAAAAATCAAAACAAAGACTAAGACTGGTGGGACCTAAAGAAAATTTTCAGTGACAACACAGAAGGTCATGCATGTAGCATTTCCACCACACGGCACATACATGTCAGCATCAAAGAACCTTTTATGAGGAAGTAAGCTCATGCCTACAGGAAGGCTGTGGGAGGTAGGGTACATGACCCTGGGCACTGGTCATGCTGTCCCCCATTGCTAACAGGTCCACATTCCCTTCTTTCTTCTGTCTCACGCCATAGCCCTGGGTCCTTCGAGAGATGGTCGACAGTGCCCTTGGCTTTTACAGATCTTGCTGGGCGTTTCCAAAGAGCAAGGGTGCTTTCTTGTTTGCTGAATTCAAGAGACCCTGGTACTCTGATATTTGTGGAGTAGCCCTGGCCAGTTCTACCAGCTGCCTACTTGAGTTTTCCCAGTGCTTTTGAGAACAAAATCATTGATGAGGAAAATTTCCCCAAAGAAACAATCTCCACTCAGGAGATTTTCTGAGTGCTCTGTAAAAAAAAAAAAAATAAAAAATAAATAAATAAAATAAAATAAATTCTTTTTTAAAAATCCAACCTCTTGGCATAGCGTTCTGGTTGTCACTAACCCAGGGGGATATGCAGTTCCCTGCTGTGACCACCTTAGGCGGGTTTGTGGGTGATCTTTTCTGCTCAGTGACCCGGTCTCCCCTCTGTGCAGCATCGACTGTGCTGGCATCCTGAAGCTTCGGAACGCCGACATCGAGCTGCGGAAGGGCGAGACAGACATCGGCAGGAAGAACACACGAGTGCGCCTGGTGTTCCGCGTGCACGTCCCGGAACCCAGTGGCCGCATCATCTCCCTGCAGGCAGCATCCAACCCCATTGAGTGCTGTAAGTCAGACCTCAGGGCTGGGTCTTTCTGGCGAAAGGGGCCGTACATGAGCGTCCCCGGGAATTCATGGGACTTGCAAGAATGTACAGTTAGTTGGTCTGTGGTGACCAGAGGCAGAAACTGCACCCACGGAAGTATTGGTCTCTGCTTCTATTTGCTTTTGTGGAGACTTCTGTGGCCTCATGGGAAATAAAAAATAAGGACAGATAATGGGAGCTGGAGGCTTTGCTTAGTTTAGATATTGCTTTGGTCTTCTGAAATATGGGTACATTTGCAATTAAATTTCTGGAACACACACCCCCTTCTTTCTTTTCATCCCTCCCTCCACTCAGTGAGACTCACAGTAGCACAGCATTGGCTCTGAGCTGTGGACCTGCAGATGCTGTGGGAAGCATCTGGCCCTGTGAAGGCTTGGGTCACTGACTGGGGCTGTTACACCCATTTCACAGGTTAGAAGACTGAGTATTCAGTGCCTGTGCCCGGAAGAAGCAGGGCCAGGACTAGAACTCCAGAGCCTTGCAGACAGTAGTGGTTCTCCAGCTTTCCACCTGTCCCTGGAGTCGAGGTCAGGGGTCATGGCAAGTGTTGGGCATCCACAGAACAGCAAGATTTTCTCTGTGCCCAAGAATCTTAAGAGTCTAGTAGGGATAAGGCCCCGCCCCCAAAGATGGTTGTAAAGTTAGAGAAAAATTTCAAACCTGGCATGAAGTTCTGAAGAATTTTCCTTGGGAAAGATGCTGAGCACATGGCAGAGGTCTTCCAGGCTTCACATGTGCATGTGTGTCCACATGTCTGCAGTACTGGGGACTGAACCCAGAACCTCATACATGCTGGGCACGTGCTCTTCCACCAAGTTACCTCATCAATAGTTTTTTTTTAAAATTTGTTTGATTGTTTTTTGTTTTTGTTTTTTCTTCAAGGCACGGTTTCTAGTCTTAGTTATCCTGGAACTTGTTTTATAGACCAGGATGGCCTTGAGCTCACAGAGATCCTCCTGCCTCTGCTTCCCTAGTGCTGGGGTTAAAGGTGTGCACCACCATCGCCTGGCTCATCTGCAACACTTTTAAAACATTTTTTTTTTTTTGATGAAGAGCTGGTCTTGCTGAATTGCTCCAGCTGGATTTGAACTCTTAATCCTCTTGCCTCCTCTTCCTGAACAGCTGGGATTATAGGTCTACACCACGGAGCCAGATATCTGTTATGTTTTTGAAAGTTTAGCCATTCTTTTAAGAAGAAGAAAGGAAAGGAAAGGAAACATTATTTCAGGGATTAAAAACTGTTTATTTGGCTCTTCCGGTCTGTCTTTAAGGTAATTTTATGTTATAATCGTGTTTCACGTTAAATTGCTTTCAAGACCATCTCATTTGTTATTTTACTGGGCGTGGTCAAAGCTGACTTTGCTGATCTATGTCAGTTTCCTTCAGAGGCCAGGGAGATGGTGGAAATGAGAGAAGTGGCTGAGTGAGGGCAGATAGCGGGATGCGGTGGAGACTGGGGACCAGAGGGTACCCGGACCTTCTCAGTAGGCATCGTGAACTGACAGCAGCCGGTGTTCTCACATGGCAGCATGGTCTGTATGGCCAATACCGATGCTAAAAGATTAACTGGAACAAAAACGTTTCCTCACTTAGAAACGGCAACCGGGGAAGGTAGGCCGAGGCTCAAACGTAGACTCTGCCCTTAGCGTGCAGGAAGCCCTGGCTCTGGCTTCCCAGAACGCTCACATGCAGAATTGATTAAAAATGGCCGTAAATCCAAGAGACTCAGAGGGCCAGGCAGAACCTTCGAGAGGCTTCTACTTATCTGGGTGGTCTTGAGTTGTGAACACACAGACGGAGAGCGTGGGGCCTTGTGGTACAAGGAAGCACAGAAGAACTGACCACCAGGGCCGGAAGCAAGGTCAGAGGGCCTGGGCAGTACTAATGGGAACCAGGAAAGGGCCCACGGAAGCTTGTGGCTCAGCCAGGCAAAGCTAGGGTGCTGGGAGCCTGTAATCAGAGTTGGGAGACAAGAGCCACCAGCAGGGAAGGAGAGACACAGGGTGACAGCCACCCTCTCACCGCTGTCCTCAGGAGTGCCCCTATCCTGTTTGGTTTCGAATGTCTCAGGATTTTTCTAGGAGGAAACACAGACTCCTTCGTGATTTTTGGAGGCGTTGAGCAGACAGGGCTCTCCTCTTTCAGGCCAGCAGTTCACCCTTAGGGCCGGACTGTGGTTGGCTGCACGGTAGGGAACAGAGGATGTCTGTCAGTCCCCTGCCTCCTTCTCTGGGCTCCTCAAGCCAGCGTGTCTGATGTCACCCTGAGGTCTTCAGGAGCATCGCGAACCACAAGTGCCTTCAGCGAAATTGTTAACACATCTGAAAACCCTGAGCCTTGCAATCTGTTCCTCACTGGGGTCAGCCACTCATCTTCCTCTTCCTGACAGATGAGGAGACCCAGCCTTTCTTGGTAATGTGATACACCATTTTACTCAGTAGCAAAGTTGGAGTTCCAACTTTCAGTTCCGTGAAATACCTTCTTTTGGCTTTTATAATGCAGTTTTTCTGGTGAAGCCACCACCCTCAGCTGCTGGCCAGCCGCTGTCCCTCACTTCTAGTCCCCTGTTGGTTTTTATTGCCTGCTTTGTTCTATTCTAGAGCCATGCAAAGGCGCTCCATACCTGTTAGCTTGATTGATTGGCTCAGTTTATAGCCTGTAGGGAGATAATGAATACATATTGACAATTAGTGACTCACACCTGTAGACACAGAGTGGGGAGGATAAATATTTATTGTCTAATTGACTTTATACTGTTGGGGAGGATGAGCTGGGAAGAAAAACAGAGTGGGCTGACCCCTATTTACAAGGCTAACTTATTTATTTTGGAAAGGCAAACCCGTGCCCCAGTTCAAACAAGAACATGTTTGTGAACATGCCGACGGATGCCACTGTTCTTACAGTGGGCTTGCGCCTTTGAGGTCCTTCCTGCCGACCCCAGCCTTGGGAGCCACAGCTCCCTGCTGCACAGCCTGGTACCTGTGTTTCTCAGCATCCAGGCACTTCCCAGACTGCCCTGCGGTCTCAGCTGTGATTCCACAGCAAGGGAAAGTGTGACTTTGCCCTTGGGCTGTCTGAGCTGTTGCCGTGCAGCAGCTTCCGCCTCAGGCATTTCTGCTTCCTAGATGTGGGGCCAGAAGCCTGCCAGGGGGTAACTGCTGGGTCGGAGGACCACACCTCACACATATCTCAGAGTTGCTCTCTACCCTCCATCTCCTTGGGTTCCTGTCTATATCCGCTGGTGTCCTCAGCTCTGTCATTGATAAGGGCTCAGGCCCCACCCCAGATCTGGTCTCACCCAATTTTTAACTTGCTCACGTGCAAAGACCCTACTTTCGAATAAACCCATTCTGGGTTGTCAGGTGGGGTCTGGGTTAGAGGTGGGGTGGGCACTGTTTAGCCCATTCTGATGTAGTCCTCCACTTCCGGATGCTCCAGAGTTTCCAAGGGGCTTAGTCTTCCTCCCCTTCTCTTGGTTTGTTTGCTGACTGTTCCACTCAGGCAGGTGCTCAGGCTTGACCCAAATGTAGGTCAAAAACACATGTACCTGTGCATACACACACACGTACACAAACAGCACACATATGCATGCACAAATAACACACATAACATACACACACAAATAACACATGCATGCATGTATATTCACATACATATATAAATGATATGAATGCACAAACATATGTATAAAGACCACATATACTTAATACACATATGTGCATACACATACATAACACATGCATGCTTGTACATGTGTATTTATACATATGCACACAGTGCACTCATATATACATGCACATACATATACACACATATACATATATTCATGTATATATGCATGCATACACATAAATACATATATGTATGTGTGCAATACTTTCACACATATAAATGCATGTATACATATATGTGTGTACACATGCACACACAAGCACACATAAATATATATGTATACACATTAATATAAACCTTTATATGTATACATATGCACACATAAAATACATAAACATTTATATGTGCACACATACACATATGCACACAGAAGCACACACATATACACTCTGTCACCATTTAGGATTAGAATAGAGACTTTTAGGGAGCCCCCAAGTGTCGGAAGTAGGGCATAGAGAACTTGTGAACTTCCTCCCTCCCTCCCTCTGCGTGGTTAGCTAACTCCTTACTCACAGCCTCCTAGTGGAGAAAGTGTCCCTGAGCCCAGAAGGCCTCAGATCCCTCTTTGAGCACTCACCACCACACTCCTAATGTCCTTCTAGCAAGGCCAGGCAGGTGTTTTGGGGACCTGTCATTAGGAGTGGTCTAGGACATTAAGGAAGTAAGGGACGATGCCTCCAGAAACTTCCCAGTGGGTCATGAGGCGAGAGGCAGTGTCTGCAGGTGCCTGCAGCTGGGCCCACGCAACCTTTGCAGAGCTGCCTGTGACCCACTAAGGCTCTACCCAAGACCTGTGGGTTCTCTCCAGGACCTGCGGGTTCTTCCCCACAACCACATTGCAGGAAACGCCTAAAGCAATTGTGCGCCAGGCCCTACCCACCCAGGGCGCAACGCGAATTCAGAATTGACTTTGCTCCTTTTGCAGAGTGGGAGGGAGGTGTGGCCTTGTCTCTTTGACATATGCATTTCCATTGAGGTATAATTATGAAACAGTAGGTTACACAGAAGAGTCATATAGTTGAGTGACTCTTGGCAATGGCAGAGACCCTCGTCAGCACCATTCCAACCGAAATGCAGAGCACTTGGGTCTGTCAGGTCCCCCTCAGCCCCTCAGCTGCTGCTCCTCATCAGGCCACACAGAGAGGCAGTCACAGATTTGCTACCTGTCCCAGGTCTGTGACTTTGTAGAGGAGAATCAACATGCAGACTGTGTGCTTTGGGGTTCTGCTGTTTTCTCCCAGTATTTTTTTTTTTCCCCTGAGCCTGTTTCTGTTGCTTAACTCAACCGT